GAGCTGTTTTCCTCAGGGCTATTTGCGCCATAGCGGGTGCAGGCTTGTCCCCAAATGTGAGAACAGTTTTGAGGTAGATGTCAGGATCTCTGTCCGTTTCCATGTTTCTCCATAGAAAGCGATGCACATGTTGATCCCTCTCGGGAATTAGGATCCTATGATACATCTTGGAGATGTCTCCCATAACTGCGACTTTCTTCTCTCTGAATCGTAAGACAACTCCAAATATGCCGTTTAAAAGATCGGGACCTTTCTTCCAGTAATCATTCAGAGTATGTCCTTGAAATACAGAAGATGAATTGAAAACAATTCGAACTGGAGTGCTCTTCTTGTCTGGCCTCAGCACGGCGTGATGAGGAATGTAGTGAACAGGTCCTTGATACGCGTTTTGTTCTTCCTTGGACAGCTTTCGCGCAAACTTCATGCTTTCCATTTCTTCCATCTGTTTGCAGTAGGCTTCGACTTGTTCAGGATTTCTTTTCAGGCGTCGTTCTGTTGACTCTAGGCGTTTCATTGCCAAATCTTTGTTGTCTGGGAGCAGGGTGGGGTCCTTTCTCCAGGGGTATGGAATCATCCATTGACTTCCAACTTTGATACATGTTTCCTCTATTAGCTTAGCTTCTTCTCTTTCTGTTTCAGACAGTTTGTCTGCATCGCAGACACAGGGTTTCACGGCCACACCCATAGTCTCTGTTGTCCAGAAGTCAGTTAAGTCTATTGGTGAGGCGTACTTGACGTGTAATATGCTGGTTATGTCACAGATCTGCTCTGGTTTTCCTCCAAAAACTACCCATCCAAGTGGCGACTTGCGAGCTAGTAGATGGTCCACTTGTCTCGTTTCACCAGCATGCATATGTGCGTGATCAATACCGATTAGCAGGTCCACATGTCCCTTGCCGCGGCGAAATCTCGTGTTAGGCAGGCCAAGAAGCTCCGGTAAGTGCGAAGTTTTCACTGTTGGGATTTCATCACTGATGCTCTGAATGCCGATTGCTTTAACGGTAAAACGCTTGCCGGTGTCTATGCAGGTTAGCTGAATTTTGTATTCTTTGGTTTTCATTGACTCTTCCTCCCCGCCAACTTTAGTAATTGTTATGGAAACATCCTTTCCCTTCAAGCCGAGAGTTTCTGCGGTATCCTGACGAATAAGGCTTACTTGAGCGCCAGAGTCAAGAAGAACATTTCCACATTTAAATAGGCCGTTAGCGCTGCCGATGTTTGCGGAGAGGACTGGGAGAATAGCTTCTTTCGTATTGACTGATGTAGCGACGCTAATCTTGACAGTATTGCTCTTATGAAGCAGCTGATGGTGATGTTGTGGACACCGCATTCCATTCTCCAGCTTTGCGCACTGTTGTTTACGCCTGCAGTTATCTACAGTGTGTCCCCTTCCGGCCCTCTTCAAACAGCTGAAGCACAGGTGATTTGCCTTTGCAGTTGCGATACGGTCATCAATGCTGAGAGCTGTAAACTTCGGGCATTGATCGGGCCAGTGGGATGAAGTTTTGCACAGCCAACATTTGTGCCAGACAGGTTTGCCGTCATTAGATGTGAAGTGATTCACGTGGCGTCTTCCAGATGAGCCCACTCTGATAGGAGCTGTGGCACGCATTCGTGACTTCATTTCCACGTTCATCCAGTTCATCAACGCTTCCAGGGTAGCAGGCTTCTTTTCTCTCTCCAGATCTCTCGCCCAGACCTTTCTGTCGTCAGAGCACATCTTTTGTTCGATAATGGAAAGCATATGGCTGTTGTCCATATCACTAGGGAGACCAACTTCTTTCAGGGTATTATAACATCTCTTGACTAGATGTACCAGGTCGCAAAATCGCGCATCTTCCCCTTCCTGCAAGGCTTTAAATTGGACAATATCCTGGGTCACAGTGTCTGACACAAATCTCGGGTCGCCATAGATCGAGTCCAGATATTCCCAGGCGGCGTCATAATCACTTCCGATACCTTTGATCAGTTCTAGCGGCTTATCTCTCAGGCATGTACGCAGGAGCGTTATTGCATCTCTCTTTGTGTATTTTGCTTCTATTGCGTGTTTGAAGTCAGAGCGGAAAATTGCATAATCTCTTACATTCCCAGCGAAAACAGGTAGTTTTGGTTTTTCGAGCTTAAACGTGCACGCGCCAGCT